GGGTTGGCTTATATTTATCTGTGCTTCATTTCAATCTAATGTAGCTCTTCTGTTTCTCTCTTCAACCCCGCAAGTTAAGGTGTCTCCTGTTTATTGGTTGACGCCCTCTCCTCTCCTATTTGCGACTGGCTTCTTTCATAGTCCACGATTTTGCGAGCGACCAGTCGCGCGACTGGTCGCTCGACCGATCGCGCCACCGGACTCTCGATCGGTCGAGGAGGCCGCGCTAGTTATGGGTGCCGCCGAAGACGGTCCCGAGCAGATCGCGCGATCAGTCGAGCGACCAGTCGCTAGAGGACTGGTGACCAGTCGCGCGGCTAATCGCGCGACTCGTCACCAGTCGCTCGCGAGATGGGTCCGAGACCGGTCGCGCGACTGGTCGTGGACTATGAAAGCAGCCACTTCTTCTGCACTAGCTCCGAGTTCGGCGAGATTCTTCTTGATTACGGCTTGATTACCCTTTACCACATCAATTCTAAAGGTACCCCTGCTTGCTTGCTCCGAGCTTCGATATTCAGGTCGTCTGGGTCGGGTATCCTTCGGTGTGATCAGTACGTCTCCGTACCGTCTATGGGCTGGATCAGCATTTCCAACTGAAGAGGGGATTGTACGGTCATTTATTCCTATTGCTATATGGGAATCTGATGTTTCTTAGGCTCGTTGAGTGTACAGTATCTGCAAGTTTTAACGAGGCGCGTTTTATCTTTCATTGGGTCATATAAAATTATCATATTGGAAAGTTTACCTCGCTGTGATTTTCCTCAATCTGATCGTTCCTAATCTTAAAGAGCTTGCTCTCGTTTATTTTTGAGATTTCCCACCATTGCATAAAAAGTGTAAAATGAATGTATGTACAGGCAGCGAAATTTGTTGGTTATGGCACTTTCCTTCACTTTATGTTTGAGTTTTTCAGCAGGTGCTGAGGTCGATGCGAGATCGCATGATGACGCTACGCCTTTGCATTGTGCAGCAATCGGAGGACATCAACTGGTCGCCAAGCACCTCCTAAAATCCAATGCTGACGTGAATGCGTGCGTCTTTGTAATGTTTTTCCTTCCAAACGTTTTCCGTTGTGGTAGATCCATGGTACTTGGAGGGCAGAATGTTATCTGAAAAATTCAGGGAAATACTTCTCATTAGGAATTAAGCAGGTTGTAACGCGGGCGAATTTTTGGATGACGCTACTTGAACATTAGTTTTTATAGGAGAATGAAGGGTGAGATGACGCCACTTCATTTGGCTGCTTTCAACGCATCTCAAGCCGTTGTCCAGACGTTGGTTGAAATGGGTGCTGATTTGGAAGCAAGAGACTCGTCATCTCGTACGCCTCTCCATCTGGCTGCAGGCAGTATTTCGGATAACGGGTAATTTTTGAGTATTTTCGCTATTTTCATTCCAAGGTGGTTGGACTTTTGTCTGGAGGTGTCAGGGTGTCGACGGATTCAGTGACTCAAACGACATCATAGTTTTGACATAAATAGGAAGGTTCAAGGCAGTATTTACATTATTCATTGATGTCGTCGATGGGTAGTTATTGATTGTTTGTTTTCATTGCTTTAGATAGCTTTGTTCGCTTCACTTTGAGTTTTCTGAATTTTTCAGTTCTATTCCTACTGGTTTATAAGAATAAACATGCGAATGTTATAATCTTCATAGACTAATGTTTCAGTGCGTTTACGGTTGAGTACTTGGTGCAAAACAAAGCGGAGGTGAATGTTTCGGATAAGCTCGGCTTCACTCCACTACACATGGCTGCTTCGAAGGGATTAGATCAACTGGTGAGAGCATTCTCGTGAACTCTAGAGCACCTCCAGTCATTTTTGAGTTTATTTGAGTTTCGAAGTTTATTGTGATTAATATCTCGTTCAAGGTTGAAATCCTCGTAGATGCTGGAGCAGACGTGGACAAGCCAGACATTCGAGGTCGTAACGCATTGCATCTAGCAGTTTTGACTCATTCGGAAAATACCGTGCGAGTGAGTTCAACCACCACTTCACTCTTGTTGAGATAAATAGGCGCAATTTAGTAGCGCCTGCAATGAGTAAATTTCAAAAATATATGCTATGATGCAAAACCATGTGGTCATCTTCCTAAAAGACTGGAATTTTATTCAAGTATCTGTTGCTCGTTGTCCATGTTCCATGTTGCCTTTTACTGATCGTGTCATTCTCAACATTCTCAAGAATTGGTCGCGGCGTTTAGGGGTAGGGTTGGGGGAGTGCAGCTAATTATACCGCTAATTGCTTATTTCCTCGGCAACATCCAATCATGCTATTCACATTTTCCGGGTGCGGTGGCATCTTCTTGCTCATACATCTTGGATGCCTGCTTTATTGTGACTCGCAGTTGGTAGGTGCAAATATTTCAGCCAATGCCTTTGTAATCTTAGCTTATTTTTACTTGTTATT